GAAACTGTAAAATTTCCTATAATCACATAATGACAGTAGTATTCTGTTGGTTTACGCATACAGTTGAAGGCGATTCACAAGATGTTCTCGTCCGATGAAATATCTACTCGTTTTTAAACCACAATCGATTAATTTTTTAAACGCATTTCTCCGGCGTAATGTAAGAGTTTGCTCTTCATTCATCTACGTCTTAGTAAAATTTTAATTAATCACTTAATTGTAAAATGTTAACACGTACTCGTTCTCAGTGGGCTGTCTGTCTAAGCACACGGCTCTAGTGAAAAACATATTATGGCAGATGACTTCATAGCCGTTCAAACCACAAGGTACATCTTCTCGATACCACTACAAGTCTTAATCAAATTGACAACGGACATAGAAACTGGCCAAACGCCAAAGTTTTACTCGATGGCAACTCGTTCAAGTGTTTCCGTAATAAAGACGATAAATGACCACAACACTTACAACTCAATGGATTGTAAAACGCGTATCGTTAATAAAATACATTTTTCATGTTTACAACTTGCAATTTAAAGGTACATACATAAAATTTGTTCACGATCGAGTAGCAAAACGAATTTTAAAAATCTAATGTGATATACTTACTGACAACTAACAAGAAAATTATGAAGTTTTTAAATATCAACATTGGTATTTGAATGATTTAAAATATGAAGTTTGGTAAAATAAACTTAGTTTACGATTTACATTATGTGGGTATTATGAAAAAAATGTCTATTATTATTGTTTACACTTTATAGGCGATTGCCAAACAAAAAAGTAATACTGATATTGTATGTATTCAATTCTTAACCAACCGATATTTTTTTAATAATTTTACGTTTGTTTTTTAATAATTTACTTACCTATTATATTTACCAAGTTACACCGAATTTTAGCTAAATATACTAAATAAAAATCTACACTATTTCGCTAAAATTTGGTACCCCAATTCATTCTTACCTTAACTTCTAAGTTTGTAACAAATGGAAAAATGCTAGAAATCATTAAGTTTCGTTTATGGGTTTTTTAGTGTACTTTTGAATACTATCAACAAATTGTTCGATCTTCTCCTTAATTACGAAAAAGCACGACGCATAAAAATCGATATTAACTTTTTCTAAATACTTAGCTGTTGGCAAATAGCTAATGCGATAACATAAAAATTTATCATTTCATAGATTGATTAAATAATTTTTAATTTTTTAAGTTGGGTAATTTTAATTTACATATATTTACTAGACCATACACACATAAAAATGTTGGATTTTTTTTAGCTACAACCAATGATGTGGTCTAATCAAGTTTCGCGTTGAGTCTTTTTTAACCCATGTTAACTACATCGATCCATTAAATTGAATTCATTATGGTGAATATAAATACTTTTTAAATAATACATATAATAAGTTATAATAAAAATATCATGTCACATGTTTTAAATTTTTATGGGTTTAGATTAACTTGAATCCAACTAAAACCGAAATTCTCAAAACGCAAAAGTCGCTAATTACATTAGCTCTATAAACTAGTATTATTTTATACCCTTAAATATAATTAAAATCAGCACTACATTAGTTCTAGGTGGAAATCTACGTTCAATTGTGTATGAATACAACCACACTTGGGATTAAAAAAACTATCGATTCTTTGCGTATGGAAGACAGGAAAATTATTAAAGAAAAATATGTTTATTTTTACATATTTTATCGTATGAAAAAATGACCATTAATATTTAGTGCGATTCGTCATTGTTTTAAATCAATAGTTTAATTTAACACACAAGTTTTGAAAAAATCTTTTTAGATTTATCAATTAAATGTCTTTAAACAAAAGATAAGTATATCACTTACGCACATTTTTCATGCCACAATAAAAATATTATAAGATACCTATAATTAATTGATTATGTCAACAAATGTTAAGTGCTTAACCTTTCTATTCTATAATAGCAAATGAAATAGTAATTACTGTCGTTTCAGTAGCGACCACAAACTCTAAACTTATACATTCCAACTAAACGATGTGCCAATGAAAAC